GAGCGCCCCCTGCAGCTCATACATAGCGATGTTTGTGGTCCAATGAAAACTGCATCTTTAAGGGGCATGAAGTACATCCTTACCTTTACCGATGATTTTTCGAGATATTGTTCTGTTTATTTCTTGAAGAATAAAAGTGAAGTGTATGACAAACTGTTGGACTTTCTAGCAAAAGTGAAAAATCAATTTGATAAGTTTCCTGAGGCTTTCAGGACTGACAATGGAAGTGAATTTTGCAATGAGGCAATTGATAATGTCTTGAGAAAATATGGTATTCATCACCAGCATTCATTGCCATATTTTCCACACCAGAATGGTGTTGCAGAGAGGAAAAATAGAAGCCTAATTGAAATGGCCAGAACTATGCTGTTGGATGCAAAATTACAGCATTATCTTTGGGCTGAAGCAGTTAACACTGCTTGTTATTTGCAAAATAGACTTCCAAGTGCAAGCAGAAATGTGACTCCATATGAATTGTGGAATGGACATCCGCCTTCTGTGAATCATTTGAGAGTTTTTGGCTCAAAGGCATATATGTATGTACCTGAAGTGAAACGAAGTAGCAAGTTTGATCAGACTTCTAAGCCTCTAATTTTGATTGGATACAGTTCTGAGCACAAAGGCTACCGTTTGTTTGATCCCCAAAACAAAACACTGACTGTTGGAAAAGTTGTGTATTTTGATGAAAGGATAGAGGGAAATAACTTTCCAGAGGCTCAAGAGAAGCCAGGCCCTTTTGTCCCAGGCCAACCATGCGGTCAAGAAGGGGAAGGAGCCGCGCCATCCAGTGGTCAAGCGGAGCAACTGCATTCTTGGAGGCCAACTGAAGGGCCGCCACCACCCAGTGGTCAAGCAGAGCAACTGCATCTCAGGAGGTCAGATGAAGAGCCAACACCACCCAGTGGCCAAGAAGAACAACTGCACCTCAACAGACCAAATGAGAATACAGTGCCACCACCCGATGGACAAACAGAGACATTGCTTCGCAGATCTGAAAGAGAAAATAAAGGCGTCCCTCCTTTGCGTTTTGCTTATCTAAGCAATGAAATGGAACCGCAAGAACCATCATCCTGGAATCAAATGCAAAGATTACCAGAGGATGAAAAGGAGAAATGGATGAATGCAGCAATGGATGAAATGGAATCATTGCAACAGAATCAAACATGGACACTTGTTCCACCACCTGAGAACAAGAATATTGTTGGATGCAAATGGGTATTCAAGTTAAAGCATGATGAGAATGGAGAGATACAGAGATACAAAGCCAGACTTGTTGCTAAAGGCTATTCACAAGAGTTTGGTGAAGATTATGACCAAACCTTTGCACCTGTTGTGAAACATACAACTCTAAGACTTTTGCTTACTATAGCAGCTTCAAGAAACATGGATGTCCAACACTTGGACGTGTCAACAGCCTTTCTTCACGGTGACTTGAAGGAAGACATTTTTATGCAACAACCACCAGGCTTTGAGGACAAAGCACACAAAGGCTATGTATGCAAATTAAAGAAATCAATCTATGGTTTAAAGCAGGCGGCAAAATGCTGGAATGAAAAACTGAATCAAATGTTGATTGAGCAGGGTTTTGCTCAAGGCAATGCTGACCCTTGTCTCTATTCTAGATTCAAGAACAATAGATGGACATATGTTCTAACTTATGTGGATGACATCATTTTTTGTTTTGAAAAGAAATGCGACTTTGATGAAGTTGTCCAACATCTTAACTGTACTGTGAAAGTGAAACAACTTGGAAACATATCCCATTACTTAGGGATACAAATTGAAAGAGAAGAAGATGGAAGTTTTTTGCTAAATCAAAGACAGAAGATACTGGACTTATTGAAACATCTTGGACTCTCAGATGCAAATCCAGTAAGTACACCCATGGAAGTGAATTACTGGAAAAACTCTTCAGAAAGTGAACTGTTACCAGACAATAGCTTATATAGAGAGGCTATTGGAAAGCTACTGTACATCAGCAGGATTACAAGACCTGACATTTCAGCAGCGGTTGGAATACTGTGCAGGAAGACCAGTCAACCAACCAAACATGATTTGATTGCAATTAAAAGAGTTGCAAGATACCTGAAGGGGACATTGAACCTCAAGTTGAGACTACAAGCTACCAGTAACCTCATACTTAAAGGATATGTGGACTCGGATTGGGCTAATGATATTACAGATAGAAAATCAACAAGTGGTTACCTGTTTTTCTATGGAGATGCACTGATAGACTGGACAACACAAAAACAAAAGATTGTTGCATCATCATCAACTGAAGCAGAATATGTATCAGCAGCGGAAGCGTGCAAGCAACTGAAGTGGCTTCACATGGTACTACTTGATTTTGGAATTAGTGAACCAACACCAATAGAAGTCTTTGAAGACAATCAAGGTTGTCTAAAGTATTCCCAGACAGAGAGAATCAGCCCTCTACTCAAACATGTGGATACAAAATATCATATTGTGAAGAATGCATATGAAGAAGGATTTATGAGACTGGAATATTGCAAATCAGAAGATATGATTGCAGACATCCTGACGAAGCCGTTACCCAGACAAGCTCATGACAAGCTGAAGAAGATGCTGAACCTGATAGACTTGAGCAGTCCTAGATGAAAAGAAGGGGATTGTTGGGTTTCATCGCTGACTGCACAAGTCTCCAGCCCTCAATGAGTAGATAGACTAGATAAACTTAGGGATTCCTCCCTATTTCCTGTAGTTAAGTTGGTTAAGAAGGGGTTAAGAAGGGGAATTGCCCTTTGCATGGTACTATCTCCTCCCCATTTGAATACCTAGGAATGTAATCCTATAGGGAAAACGTAACTTCCTCTTTTAAAGGTATCTTTATTGCCCTAGGCTGGGCCATGTGGCCTGTCTCCATTTTCAGGCTCTCTTCCTTTTGTCCTCCATAGAGTGAGGAAGCATCTTGCTTTTGTCCAGCAAGGATGTAATAGAAATAGTTACTTTTATTATTTTTCCTTTTCTATTACCTTAGATGATAGCTCACTGAAGCTAGTTAGCTCCAAGAACCTTTCCTATCCAGAATGGATTTCTTTTATCTTTAATAAACATATTATTTTGATCCTATGAGTTGTGGATCTGCAATCCTGTTCCATCCTGCTGAATGGAAGTCATACCTTGCTCACTACATGTAAGTTTCTGCTGCTTATTTACTGTGCATCCTGCACTCTGCTATATTTTTGGTGGAATCACCCCCAGAGAGGGTTATTTTTGAGCCTAACAGCTCTTGATTCCCAACACTTTGTTGCTGAAATTATTATTAGGGCTGTCTTGAGATTAATGACATCTTGGCGCATTAACTGCATAATGTTTAATCAATTAAATCTGCATACATTTGCATACGGACAGCATTATTTCAGTGGAACATTAATGCTTCGTTTTCAGGTGGCGCATGCTCCCATGAGAGACAGAAGAAATGTGACTGCTAAGAAACAACTGCAAGTATTTACATTCGAACCCATTAACAATCTTTGAAAAATCTACTCATTGGTTCATTTGGGATGGACACTGCTTAAAATCAATCAGAAAGGCTTCAACATGGATCGGTTTGAATTATGATGCCAGGCGATATTAAAGTGCATAGGTCTAAATTTCAATCGTTAACCTGAATGAGAGTCGACTTAGGGTGCAACTATGATGTCGAATTAATGCGGATTGACGTCACTTTAACGCAGCGTTTCTCAACCTGGGGGTTGGGACCCCTGAGTGGGTCAGGTGGGGGTGTCAGAGGGGTTGCCAAGGGTCTTCATAAATCACAGTATTTTCTGTTGGTTGTGGGGGTACTGTGTGGGAAGTTTGGCCCAATTCTCTCATTGGTGGGGTTCAGAATGCTCTTTGATTGTAGGTGAACTATAAATCCCAGCAACTACAATTCTCAAATGTTAAGGTCTATTTTTTCCAAATTCCACCACATTCCACATTTGGGCATATTGAGTATTTGTGCCAAATTTGGTCCAGATCCAACATTGTTTGAGTCCATAGTGCTCTCTGGATGTAGGTGAACTACAACTTCCAAACTCAAGGTCAATGCCCACCAAACCCAATATTTTCCATTGGTCATGGGAGTTCTGTGGGCCAAGTTTGGTTCAAGTCTATCGTTGGTGGAGTTCAGGGTGCTCTTTGATTATAGGTGAACTATAAATCCAAGCAACTACAACTCCCAAATGTTAAGGTCTATTTCCCCCATATTCCACCAGTGACCACATTTGGGCATATTGAGCATGTGTGCCAAGTTTGGTCCAGATCCAACATTGTTTGAGTCCACAGTGCTCTCTGGATGTAAGTGAACTACAACTCCAAAACTCAAGGTCAATGCACACCAAATCCTTCCAGTATTTTCTGTTGGTTATGGGAGTTCTGTGTGCCAAGTTTGGTTCGATTCCATCATTGGTGGAATTCAGAATGCTCTCTGATTGTAGGGGAACTATCAATCCTAGCAACTACAACTCCCAAATGACAAAATCATCCCCCCAAATCCCACCAGTATTCAGATTTGGGCGTATTGAGTATTTGTGCCAAATGTGGTCCAGTGAATGAAAATACATCCTGCATATCCGATATTTACATGATGATTCATAACAGCAGCAAAATGACAGTTATGAAGTCGCAAGTTGGTGGAGTTCAGAATGCTCTTTGATTGTAAATTAAATATAAACCCCAGCAACTACAACTCCCATATGACAAAATCAATGTCTCCCCCCCCCCCAACCCCACCTGTATTCAGATTTGGGCGTATTGAGTATTTGTGCCAAATTTGGTCCAGTGAATGAAAATACATATCGGATATTTACATGATGATTCATAACAGTAGCAAAATGACAGTAGCAACAAAAATAATGTTATGGTTGGAGGTCACCACAAGACAAGGAACTATATTAAGGGGTCGCTGCATTAGAAAGGTTGAGAAACACTGCTTTAACACTGCTCAATGCAATGGAATCCTGGGAGTTGGGTTTTGTACTCTTCGCTAGAGAAGGTTTGCAAAACTACAGCGTCCAGGATTCTGTTACATTGAATCATGGCAATTCAAGGGTTGCCAAACTGCATCAGTTCCGCTGTGTAGATGCTATAGATGAGGTCCGTTGTCATTCATTATAGTATTATGAAGAAGGTGGGGATGGGGATTGAGACTGCAGGATGGCTGGATTTGGCTTAAGGTAGGGAGGTTCCTTTCAAGACTCATTGCAGTGTTACAGAGAAGAGGGGAAAACCATATGGAGAACTTCAGAGAGACAGATTGAGACTTCAAGATGGTCAGATTTGGCTTAAGGTAATGAGATTCGTTTCTACAGCACTCATTGTAGTATCATGAAGAAGAGAAGAAACCCATCTGGAGAACTTCAGAGAAACAGACTGAGATCGTAGATCAGCTGGATTTGGCACAAGGTTGGGATGTTCCCCACCCTTCTCCTAGCAAACTTTTGGGGAGCAACCTATAGGATGCCATACCAGTAGGCCTTCTCAGTTGACATTTTGACTTAGGACAAGGCTAGAATCAAAGAATCAGAGATCTGGAAGAGGCCACAAGGGCTGCCTAACCCAACCCTGTTGACTCCAAGGCTTCGCTCCTTCCTTTGGTCACATGGGGCCCACTTCTCAGGGCATGAAACACTCTGAGGGGTTGCTGGAGTCGGGCAGGACGTTGCAGTTGAGGGGCCAGGTGACCCCCAGGAGGCTGAGGGGCTGCTGGCACCGCTGTTCGGTGTCCAAACAGATGGAGCGGCAGGGCTGGAGGATGCCCCCGTCCGGCGTGCATTTGGGGACAAATAGGCCACAGATGAACAAGCGGAGGTGCGGGTAGCAGGCCAGGTCCTTCAGCATCTGGAAAAGAAGGTGCAAAAGGTGCATCCATCAGGCCAGAACCCAGACTATTTCTCAGGGTACATCTACATTGTATTCAGCAGCAGAGTAGCGAAGCACAAGAGCAGATGTCTTCACTGTGTCTGGTTGTGATCCCCAGGTTGTGCCAGTCAGCTTTTGTATGATATGATGGTGATGGTGAAATTAATGATGGTGAAAATAAAAGAATGGCCTGCCTCAGAGAAACGTGCTTCCTCCATCAGTGTTTGACATTTACACAAATGATCAGCCACTGCCAGAAGGGGCAGAGAGTTTCATCTATGCTGACGATCGTGCCATCACCGCCCAAGCAGGGTGCTTTGAAATGGTTGAACAGAAGCTCTCCAAAGCTTCAGGTGCTCTTACTGCCTATTTCAGGGAAAAACAGCTGATTCCTAATCCATCTAAAATGCAGACATGTGCCTTCTACCTTAAGAACAGACAAGCATCTCGAGCTCTGAGGATTACATGGAAGGAATCTCACTGGAGCATTGCACTACACCCAAATATCTGGGAGTCACTCTGGACCGTGCTCTGACCTACAAGAAGCACTGCTTGGATATCAAATAAAAAGTGGGTGGTAGAAATAATATTGTACAAAGCTGACTGGCACAACCTGGGGATCACAACCAGACACAGTGAAGACATCTGCTCTTGTGGTTTGCTACTCCGCTGCTGAATATGCATGCCCAGTGTGGAAAACAGCTCACCACATTAAAACAGTGCATGTAGCTCTTAATGAGACATGCCACATTATAACAGGATGCCTACGCACCACAACACTGGAGAAAGTACACTGTTTAGCTGGTTTTGCATCACCTGACATCTGCCGAGAAATAGCAGACATCAATGAAAGGACCAAGGCATTGACATCTCCAGCCTATCCTCTGTGGGATATCAGCCAGCATGCTAATACCTTAAATCAAGGAACAACTTCCTAAGATCTACAGCGATACTCGCAGGAACACCTCAGCAAGCAAGAGTCCAAAGGTGGCAGGCTAAAACCCAGCACCTCAATCAGTGGCTGAGACTGAATGAGAAACTCCCTTTTGGGCACACAGAAGAGTGAACGACCTGGAAGGCGCTGAACAGACTGCGCTCTGACAACACGAGATGCAGAGCCAACCTCAAGAAATGGGGCCACAAAGTGGAGTCCACGACATGCGAGTGTGGAGAAGAGCAAAGCACAGACTACTTGCACAATGCAACCTGAGCCCTGCCACATGCACAATGGAGGACCTTCTCACAGAGACACCAGAGGCACTCCAAGTGGCCAGTTTCTAGTCAAGGGACATTTAGCATAATGCTAAGACATGATAAATAAAATAGCTTGACACAGCTTGAAATGGAATCTTGGGTTGGATACTTTGGTGTAGAAGGCTCAAGACCTTGTCAAACGACAACTCCAAGCACTCTGTAGCATCGGGACATAGCAACTGCAATTTGTTCCCTGTCTATGGCCATAGTAAGGTTGCCTTGGAATAGAGAAAGTCTCTCTCTCCATGGCTACCGGCCTGGTGTTTGCCCCTCTCCCAGTCTAATCCTTGGCCCCTTCCAGTCTCACTCACCAGATAGTCTTGGAGTATCTCTTCGGCCCCTTGCTGATCTGGGATGGCCAGCCAGATGTTGGGGAAGGAGGTGGTATTGTAGCTGAGGCCCAAACACATCTCTACCTCAATCAGTTCACAGGAGGGCTCTGTCAAGGGGGAAAGAAAGAAGAGGAAGGAGTGACATGAGTCAAGTAGCATTGGCACATGTGAAGGAGTGCAGCCCATTGGGATCAGGTCGTCCCATTATGGTTTGGGGGCTCAATGTTAGCAGAACATTGGTGACTATGTGATCAGTATCTCTCTCCAACACTTGAATAACACTTTTTCACCAGAGATAGTGCTCCCGGTGGCACAGTAGGTTAAAGCCTTGTGCCAGCAAGACTGCTGACCAGCAGGTCAGCGGTTCAAATCTGGGGAGAGCAGGTTGAGCTTCCTCTGTCAACTCCAGCTCCCCATGCAAAGACATGAGAGAAGTCTCCCACAAGAATGGTAAAACATCAAAACATCCTCTGGGCAACGTCCTTGCAGACTGCCAATTCTCTCACACCAGAAGAAACTTGCAGTTTCTCCATGGACTTTGGGACAGTCCCTTGTCCGACTCTCTCGATGCATCTACACTGCAGAAAGAAGGCAGTTTGACACTACTTTAACTGCCACGGCTCAATGTGATGGACTTCTGGGAGTTGTAGTTGTTGATTGGATGGCTTTTTCAGGCACTGCAGCACTGTGACATCAGCAACCATCAACACCAACTCCATCTGGCTGCAGGTCATCTTTGTATCGGATGAAAGCATCGCTCCTTCGAGATTCACCGCTCCCTATCAGGCCATTTTGCCCAGTGAAAGTAAGTTTACCCCATTTAAAGAAGGCAAAAGAAGACCTACATACAAAAATCGCTCCTGACATACAAAAAAATTAGGGATGGTTGGAATTGTCCATGCTATTGTAGTTCCCATTCCTATGCATGGCTCTGAAAGCTGGAAAGTGAAGGAAGAAAATAAACCCATTTGAAATGTGATGCTGGAAGAGAGTTTTGAGGCTATTGTGGACTGCTGAAAAGACCAGTAAATGGGTCCTGGAGCAAATCAAGCAAGGACTCTCCTAGAAACCAAAATAACCAAACTGAGGCTGTTGTATTTTGGACAGAACTCATTAGAAAAGCAGAAGACGGTAGGGAAAAAGGAAGGCCTCTTTCCAGGTGGATGAAATGAGTTGAGGAAGCCCTAGTTGCCTTGACTTTGCAAGACCTGAGCAGGGCTTCTTGACTATTTATTTATTTACTGTATCTCAGCCAATTGGCGACTCACGGCAGTTTCCAACAAATCAGTATACATAAAACATAATATAGATAAAAACATTAAACAATATAAAACATCACAAAAGCAATAAAAACAACATCATCAGCGTCTCATTATTCTCAAGCATTGTCCAAATTCCATTGTCAGGTCATTCGATTTCCTATATTAGCTACTCTGTATTTGTAAACACTTGCTCGAATAGCCACGTTTTAACTTGCCTCCAAAATGTCAAGAGGGAGGGAGCAGATCTGATTTCCCTAGGGAGGGCGTTCCATAGCTGAGGGGCCACCACTGAGAAGGCCCTGTGTCTTGTCCCCGCCAAACATGCTTGTGATGACGGCGGGACCGAGAGCAGGGCCTCCCCAGACGATCGTAAAGACCTCAGTGGTTCGTAAGGGGAGATACGTTTGGACAGGTAAGTTGGGACAGAACCGTTTAGGGCTTTATAGGTCAAAGCCAGCATTTTGAATTGGGCCCAGTAGCAAACTGGTAGCCAGTGGAGCTGGCGCAACAAGGGGGTTGTATGCTTCCTGAGCGCCGCTCCTGTTAACAACCTGGCTGTCGTTCGTTGGACTAGTTGAAGCTTCTGGACCGTCTTCAAAGGCAACCCCACATAGAGAGCGTTGCAGTAGTCTATACAGGATGTAACCAGAGCGTGGACTACCGGACGATAAGAGGACTCGGAGGTTCATAGGGTTGCTATAAGTCAAAGCCAATGGCAGTTAACAAGGCAAACTGGCAACAAATGAGACTCACCAAAAGATGGGTAGGAGATGGTGGTGCAGTTGAGTTCGTCGCTTCCGTCTGGACAGTCGTGCCATCCGTCGCACACCAACCTCTCCGCCTGACACTCTCCATTTCTGCAGGCAAACTCAAAGGGCCCACATGTTTCTGGAAAGATCGCCATGCAATTGGGAGGAGAGAGAGAGAGGAAAAAAATACACAATGATAGGGCCCTGGGAACATGGATTATAAGGAACCAATAATATGGAACTGTATCATCGCAACTCCCAGATCTAGCTTGGGAAACAGAGCTGAGTTTTTCATCCTTCTGAGATAATATGACATTTTGCATGAGAACACAGGCTTTGGGGTTAATGACCTGCCCTCCTCCTCATCCCCAGCCCTATAAGACTAAGCCATAATTACAGGCCTTGATAAACAAAGAAACAAAAAACTGCCAAAGTGTATGTCATCCCAGGAGGACCAAAGTCTGTGAATAAACAAACAGAGTTCTTCTCAGGAGATATGGGGCCGATGCTGGGTCTCCCCTCCCCATGTGCCAACTCAAGATTTTCATTTCTGTGGCTGATTTCTCTGTCCCATCTTCGAGATAAATGAAGATGGATGTGGTATGAATTTGAGCCTTTATTGTTGGCACCAGGAATTGGGGACAAAAGGCATTGTGGTTAGAACAGGGAGATAAACATTGTGCATTAACCCCAAGGCTCCCTTTATCCTACCCAAAACAAAACCAAGAGACAACTAGTTAAAGAAGTGATTAGTTGTGTCTCCAGTGAGCTCCAGAAGGGACAGTTTTCAATTATATCACTGCTCCATCCTGCATAAAAAAACAACCTCCAAAGCTGGGTTGTTGTGAGTTTTCTGGGGCTGTATGACCATGTTGCAGAAGCATTTTCTCCTGATGTTTCGCCTGAATCTATGTCAGGTATCCTCAGATGTTGGTAACTAGGCAAGTGGGGTTTATATATCTGTGGAATGTCCACGGTGGGAGAAAGAACTCTTGTCTGCTTGAGTTAGGTGTTAATGTTTCAATTGGCCACCTTGATTAGCATTCAATGGCCTAACAGTTTCAAGGTGTCGCTTCTTACTGCCTGGGGGAATCCTTTGTTGGGAGGTGATTAGATGGCCCTGATTGTTTCTTGTATGAAATTCCCCTGTTTTTGAGTGTTGATTTTTTATTTACTGTTATATAACCCCCAAAGCATCTAAGGATTTTCCTTCTGGCTTTGTGCAAATGATGGGTTTTCATACTTTCCAATGCTCCCAGTTTGGAAGGGACAGTCTTCATTTGTCTTCTGCCACCTCATTTTTTCAGCAGAATTTAAAATGTCATAGTTTCCTTCTCCTCCTTCCATTTCCCCCCTGAATCCTCCTTCCTTGAATAAAACCTCTCTTGTGCCAAATGATGAGCTTTGGAGCAAGCTCCAACCCACAGCAACCCATCTTCACCTACTTTCTGTTGCATTGTAGGCCCGGTAAGTGGCAAAGAAGCCGCTGTCTGCGATTCCTTCGTCTGCCACAAAAAGGATGGTCATGACGTGCTGCGACGAGGTCAGAAGAGGTGGCATGTTGGAGTTGCAGAACCTGTGGAGAAAAGGAAGCTGTGGAAGGGGGGCTTCAGAAAGAGCCCCATTTCAATGGAAAGCAAGGATGGATTGCAATGAGAAGGTAGATGAGAGGGAGAGGGACACTATGTGGACTGAATCCAGGATCCTATGAATAGTATCTTCAATCAATCTTGCAATGTGAAATAGTTCTATTCAGAGGTCTAATGTGCCAGCTGGGCACATTTTTGAAGCCATGCTATTCGATCTCTCCTTTTGGGTTATTATTTATCCCTTTGTGTCAACAAAGGAATTCCAGCTGTAGTGTTGGAAATAGAAAATGAATAACACAAAGGTGTATAATGCAGAAATGACTTCACTAGTATTGTGTTGTATGGAAGGAGCCAGCATGGCATAGTGGTTTGAGCTCTGGAGACTTGGCTTCAATTGGTATCTGCAAGGGTTTGGTTCCAGGATCCCCTATGGATACCAAAATCTACAAGTCATATTATATTACAATGGTCCCCTAAATGTTGTCCATTATATAGAATGTCTTAATCTTTCTTATTTTTAAAAATCAAGATGGGATTGGTTGAATCCATAAATGCAGAATCTATGGGTACAAAAGCGACATCTTTATGAGTCATTCCATCAAAATGTTCTCAGTGTGCAGAACAGAACATAAAAGACCTTGCACACAAATTGAATTAAACCAGTACACTCATCACACAATGAACTGCGCCTATTGATCCACCCCCACTCAACATAGAAGAAAGTGGAGACACTAATGTTTGAATTCTTCTTTACTTTTGGGGAAGAAGATGCCACCATAATGAGAAGACAGGAATGCTTGGAGAAGAGAATGATGCTGGGGGAAAGGGAAGGAAAAAGAAAGAGAGGCCAACCAAGGTCAAGATGGATGGATGGTATCCTTGAAATGACTGGCTTGACCTTGAAGGAGCTGGGGGTGGCCATGGTCAACAGGGAGCTCTGCCATGGGCTGGTCCATGAGGTCGGAAACAACTGAACGAATAAACAACAACATGCCTCCATACCTTCCCATGATGCTGGTTGCTCCCATCCCTGTGCTATCATGGGGCTGACTAAGGTCAAGATGGATGGATGTTATCCTTGAAGTGATTGGCTTGACCTTGAAGGAGCTGGGGGTGGCCATGACAACAGGGAGCTCTGGCATGGGCTGGTCCATGAGGTCATGAAGAGTCGGAAGTGACTGAATGAATAAACAACAGCATGCCTCCATACCTTCCCATGATGCTGGTTGCTCCCATCCCTGCGCTATCGTAGACCTCCACAAAGTCATAGTTGCACCTTGAAGGAGCTGGGGGTGGCCATGGCCAACAGGGAGTTCTGGCTTGGGCTGGTCCATGAGGTCATGAAGAGTTGGAAGTGACTGAATGAATAAACAACAACATGCTTCCATACCTTCCCATGATGCTGGCTGCTCTCATTCCTGCGCTGTTGTAGACCTCCACAAAGTCATAGTTGCACCTTGAAGGAGTTGGGGGTGGCCATGGCCAACAGGGAGCTCTGGCATGGGCTGGTTCATGAGGTCATGAGGAGTCAGAAGTGACTGAACAAAGAAACAACAACATGCCTCCATACCTTCCCATGATGCTGGTTGCTCCCATCCCTCCGCTGTCGTGGGGCTGACTAAGGTCAAGATGGATGTTATCCTTGAAGTGATTGGCTTGACCTTGAAGGAGCTGGGGTGGCCATGACAACAGGGAGCTCTGGCATGGGCTGGTCCATGAGGTCATGAAGAGTTGGAAGTGACTGAACGAATAAACAACAGCATGCCTCCATACCTTCCCATGATGCTGGTTGCTCCCATCCCTGCGCTGTCGTAGACCTCCACAAAGTCATAGTTGCACCTTGAAGGAGTTGGGGGTGGCCATGGTCAACAGGGAGCTCTGCCGTGGGCTGGTCCAGGAGGTCACGAAAAGTCAGAAGTGACTGAATGAATAAACAACAACATGCCTCCATACCTTCCCATGATGCTGGTTGCTCCCATCCCTGCACTGTCGTAGACCTCTACGAAGTCGTAGTTGCACTCCTCCTGCGACTCGAGGCTGAAGTTGTGGAAGCGGAGGTCGATCACATGGCCGAGGGGCACCGAAATGTGCCAGAGGCAGAGCTGCAAGTAGAATGGCCTGCTGTGGAAGCCCATTGGGCTGGACCAACAATGGTGGCACAGACAAGGTGACCCAACCAATGTCCAACATATGTCAGTCTGGAGCATAGATGGCGAGGATAGATCTCCATCCTCTAGGCCCTGGCACTCACTCACCTGGAGATGTGGGTAAGGCTGGGGGAAATTCGGGGAGAAGAATCTCCCCTCCAAGCTGGTTAGGGTCCCCCCACAATCTGCAAGAATACAAAGGGAAACATGTCAAGGTGATGTATATGGGCTGGCCTTAAGAACAAACCAATGTTTCTTTTGGCCTTCAACTTCCAAGATCTATCACTAGCCTTACTAGCTAGAATTGTAATCCAAATGTTATTTCCTCCTCCGATTTCTGGATGTACAACATTACTATTTAAATCGTATCCATTATTTTATAACTGGCATCTTTACCTATTGGTTAGGGAGCAAATGTTCCTACTTTTGGAAATATTTTATCAATACTTTGATTAAATACAATCCTACTTGAGTCCTGGGGATCACTGGGTAACTTTAGGCCTGTGGTCCCCTCTCAGATGCCATTTACACTGACCATTAAATGCAGTTTAAAGCTAGCTTCAACAACAAACACTCACAAAAGCATGCAAAAAGCCCTTAATGTGCATCGTACTCTGTGGCTGATATCATTATCATCAAATTGGTTCCAGGATTATTGATGTAATTATTGTCTACAATTCAAATTGGTTCCAGGATTATCTATGGAATCATCTGCATAGTGAAACTAGTTCCTTCAATTCCATTTTGGAATTAAATGGTCACTGTAGACGTGCCCTCAGCTTGACCTTGTCGTTCCCCTGATATTGGACTTCATGCTGCACATACTTTTGGGAATGTGAAGGTGACCTAAGTTGGCTTCTAACTCCATACCTTTGTGCTTCGTGGTGCAGTTGACTTCATCCGTCCTGTCGTGGCAGTTGTGGTAACCATCACAAAGGTAGGATGGAAGGAGACACAGTCCTTGGTCACAGGAAAACTCATCCCAGGAACAGTTCTCTAGAACAGATAAATATCTCTGGAGGACAAGAAGGTGGGCATTCAAATTGGATGAGAACGGATTCCATCACAACTGGTTCCATTGAGCTATGGTTTCTCCTTCCTCCTTGGAAGTATTGATAGATCTTGGAGTCTCCATTTTTTTGTGGCTCATCTCCAGGTAGGAGATGTGTAGAAAAATTATCTGCTTTGGGTGAACCGTGGCTTTCACTAAGAGGAAAGAACTATGTACAACCCTCCAGTTCAATAATGAAGTAACCATTTTGCAAGACTTAATTGATTATTTACATCTTGCAAAGACTCTCCAGGAAGTCCAGCTTGTCATCTTACAATAACAATGTTACTTACTTACACCTTTATTATTAGCAAAAGGAATTGTTTGCACATAGCTCAGTACTATAACAAGTTATTTCCAAGCCCAGCAAATACAGTTGACCCTCCACATTGGTAGGTTTGATGTTTGCAGGTTTGGTTGGTATGTTCCCTTCCAGGTTTTGCTGGAAGCTGTCATTTGAGTTGCTTCGAAGGACCTAGAGCAGTGGTTTTCAACTTGGGTCCCCAGATGTTTTTAGCCTTCAACTCCCAGAAATCCTAACAGCGGGTAAACTGGCTGGGATTTCTGGGAGTTGTAGGCCAAAAACACCTGGGGACCCCAGGTTGAGAACCACTGACCTAGAAGTTCCTAAAGAGGACACATCTGTAGGCATTTGTAGGTCCTCCTTTACCTTCTTTAAATGGGGTAGACTTACTTTCACTGGGCAAAATGGCCTGATAGTGAGCGGTGAATCCCGAAGGAGCGATGCTTTCGTCCGAGACAAAGACGACCTGCAGCCGGCTGGAGTTGGTGTTGATGGTTGCTGGTGCAACGGTGCCACAGTACCTGAAAAAGCCATCCAATCAATGACAACTCCCAGAAGTCCATCACATTGAGCCATGGCAGTTAAAGTGCTGTCAAACTGCCTTCTTTCTGCAGTGTAGATGCATCGAGAGAGTCGGACAAGAGGCTGTCCCCAAGTCCATGGAGAAACTGCAAGTTCCTTTTTGCTATGTTCCTTTTCTTAGCTAAATTGTTTTGATGTTGTTTATGATTGTGGTTGTTTTTATATTTACCTGATGTTTTTAATTGTTTGTGTTTTATTTGTAACTTTTGGGCTTGAGCCTTGTAAGCCGCCTCGAGTCCTTTTGGGGAGATGGTTGGCGTGGTATAAAAATAAAGATTATTATTATTATTATTATTATTATTATTATTATTATTATTATTATCTTCTGGCGTGAGAGAATTGGCTGTCTGCAAGGACCTTGCCCAAAGGACATCCAGATGTTTTGGTGTTTTACCATCCTTGTGGGAGGCGGACAAGGGAGTGTCCCCAAGTCCATAGAGAAACTGCAAGTCACTTCTGGTGTGAGATAATTGGCTGTCTGCAAAGACACTGCCCAGGGGATGCCCAGATGTTTTACCATCCTGTGGGAGGCTTCCCTCATGTTCCTGCATGGGAAGCTGGAGCTGTCAGGTGGGAGGTCATCCCGCTCCTTGGGTTTGAACCGCTGACCTTTCGGTCAGCAGTCCTGCCAGCACAAAGATTTAACCCATTTTGCCACCAGGTACTCCAACTCCATGGCGACTTACATCAATCAAAGGTCAAACTGCTCCAGAATTTGATCCAAAATTTAAGGGAACTGATGCTGGACCTGTTTTGGAGACTTCAGGAGCTGAATTGCAAATGGATCTCCAACTAATCTATTGGCATAAGAGATGTCAATATACTGCAGAAACAGAACAACTAATAATATACATTATTGTTGGAAAATGGAGGTATAGATATAGATTTTCTGAACATACCTTGAACCATGGATAGTAGCAAAATCTATATACTTCACTGGAAGTAAACAAAGAGTCATTCTGGAAAACTCCTAAATAGGCATCCAGGTATGACTCTAGAAACCTTTTCAAAATGAAGCACCCAGAATTGAAGAGCATAGCCAGAGGTAAACATGATTGCACTTTCAATCGACAACATTGAAGATGAATGAGAAAAAGTGAAGATACAAGTCAAGTTTAAAAGAAAAAGAAATCTTTCCTATGGGTTTTGCATTGCATTAATAATACTGTGTTTTTGGTACTCAGTTTGGAGAGAGACATCTCCTTTCTTCTTCTACTTGTGGGTCCATCCCTGTTGCTGCCACAAGAGGGAACACAATCACAGGCACTAACACCAACTTTGCATAATTCACAAGCCAAAAAAGCAAGCTTTCTTTTGAGGATAGAAAGTATTTAAAATCCCATACATCCCACTTAGGAATGCCTGTTTCCTTCTATCTCACAGTTAGAGAGGCAATGCAAAAACCCAGATTTGGGGAAATATAATACTTTTTGAACTATAATTCCCAAAATGGCAATGCCTGAAAACGTAGCTTGACTTTCTCTGTTGTTTTCGCTTTGCACTAGGATGCCACTTTACGTGCCTAGAGATTCCTAGGATTTGTAGTTTAAGAAGAGGCACTTTGAACTCTCATCCTCAGAGCTCCGTGGCATCTTCAAACTACAAATCCCAGAGATCCCTAAGATTCAGATCTAGATGTTAAAGTGGAATTATAGTGCTATATCGGTGCAGTGTGAACAAATATAAGACTACCAGAATCCCCCATCCACCTGTGCTCCAAACATCTTGGAGATGAAGCAGCATGTCCAAGCTTTGTGTCCATTGTTTCCAGGATAGCTTTTCCTTACCAGCTATTGCCGTCCCATAATGAGGTGCCGTCATGTTCCTTGTAGACTTCCAGCCGGTCGTAGAGACATGAAGCAGAGCTTTCCACGTCCAACACGTCCACCTTGAGCTGGATCACCATGCCTTCGGTCACCTGGATGTGCCATTTGCAAAGGACGTTGGGGGGATACGGAGAAGGGTAATTGGGGGAGCTAAAGGAGCCTTTGGGGCCGTGAAGGTTACCCCCACAAACTGCAAGCAGAGACAAAAAGAGAGGGAATCCCAAAATGAGTGGAGATAGTAATGTAACAAGAGACAGTGGTGTGTATTTCTATGCCATAGTTACAACTGTTGAGTGCCAAATTATCTGCCAATAAAATTCTGAGATTTCTAGTTGGGTGTAGGTATAGAGTACAGTAATGCATGTTGCCTGCCATGGCTCAGTGTTGTGCAATTGTGTGAGCTGCAGTTCTACAAGGTCTTTTGCCTTTTCCACCAAAGAGTTGTGCCTCGCCAAACTACAACTCCCATTGTTCAATAATGTTTAGTTATTGCAGTTAAAGTGGGGTCAAACTGCATTAATTCAACAGGGTAATTCAGTTATGGGCAAACCCAAACTCGGGGGCCAGATGCGGCTCCTTGGGCTCTTTCCTCAGGCCCTCCACTCTCTCATCATCCTATCCTTCTCTCTTTCCTTCCTTCCCTCCCTCTTTCTCTTTCCCTTCCACCATTCGTCTTTTCTTCCTCTCTTTCCTTTCTCCTTCCCTCCTTCCCACCCTTCCTTACCTTACCTCCCTCTTTCTCCCTCCCTCCTTCCTTCCCTTCCACCCTTTCATCCTTTCTTCATTCCCTCTCTCCTCCCTCCCTCCCTCCCTCCCTTCTTCCTTCCTTCCTTCCTTCCTTCTCCTTCCTTCCTTCCTTCCTTCCTTCCTCCCTCCCTTCCCTTCCCTTCCCTTCCCTTCCCTTCCCTTCCCTTCCCTTCCCTTCCCTTCCCTTCCCTTCCCTTCCCTTCCCTTCCCTTCCCTTCCCTTCCCTTCCCTTCCCTTTCCCTTCCCTTCCCTTCCCTTCCTCTTCCTTCCTTCTTTCCTTCTTTCCTTCTAGCTGGCAAGACCCACATCCCCCCTCTCCCCCTCCCTCTTTCCTTCCTTCCTTTTCATCCTTCCCTCTCTCCCTCTTCCCTTCCTTTTTTCTTTCTTCTTCCCTTCCTTCCTTCCTTCCTTTCTGCCTGCCTGCCTTCCAACCATCCATCTATCCATCCATCTCTACCTCACTTTCATCTTTCCTTCCTTCCCTCTTTCCTCCTTTCTTCTCTTGCTCTCTCTTTCTCCTTCAATCCTTCCCTTCCACCCTATTGCCCATCCTTCCTTCCTCCTTCCTTCCTTCTTTTCTTCCTTCTCTACCTTTTATCCTTCTTCTTCCTTCCTTCCTTCCTTCCTTCCTTCCTTCCTTCCTTCCTTCCTTCCTTCCTTCCTTCCTTCCTTTTTGTCCTTCCTTCCCTCTCTCCTTCCCTTGCTCCCTCTTTCTCCTTCTCTTCCCTTTGTCCTTCTTTTCTTCTCTCTTTCCTTCCTCCTTCCTTTCATCACTGGGCAACCAGTCCTCCTAGCAGGGAGTGTTGGTGTGCGATCCCCAAGTTAGAAAGTTTCCCCAGGTCTGGTGTAAATGCATCCATAGAATTATTGAGTAGAGAGCCTGCTGTCAGGGGAGTGAGCTACAGTTCAATCCAGCAATGATTTCTAATTCCAGAAAGGGTCCAAGGCAGTTAAAGTAGTATCAAACAACTATAGTTCTTAAGTATGGCTCCAATGGGGTTCATCGTGCCCAATGAAGAAAATAGGAGCAGAGTTGTAGTGAGGGTCTCTTCCTCTGTCCATGATGGCATCCAAATGGTTTGCAGTGTCTAACGGACCAGGCTTTCTGGGGTCGATGGGAGTTGAAGTCTAAACCACCTGAAAAGTGACAGTTTTGGGAAGTTTGGGTTAGATTATGCCTGGTTAGACCCAGGCAAAGGACATAAAAACATGACATGTTGGACCCCAACCTCCAGAATTCCTCAACCAGCCTGACGTGAGTCTATGCCAATTGGGAGGATTTATGGTGATACTTCTCTAAGTATTGTTGATCATCAAGTGCTATTCCATGGTCGGCTTTCAGCAGAGGTTGGACACAGAGCTGCCCTGGAGGACCTCAAGATCGTGAGAAACGTGTTTTAAAAATTGTGGTTTCTAAAGTTTGCATTTTCCCACATTTGCAGAGACTCTGCATCCTAAAATGGAAGAAATGCAGCACATGACTCATGCTGGTTTCAGCATGTGGAATTGCAGGTTACTCACGGGGTGCCGGTATTGTGGTTCCATACAATTCTTCCCGGGGTGGTGAGGTTGTGGCGGTGGTTGTGGACGCCGGGATCGATGTGGTCCTGGAGATGGGAGCTGAGGTAGTGCTGGGGACAGTGTGGGCATAAGAGGCCCCTGGCGAAGGCTTGATGGATTGAGAGGATTTCAACTCTGTAGCCACAAAAAATGAGAAATTGGGGAAGGAGACGTCTGAGGTTAGAAAGGAGACTGAGGTTTGGCTCTCAATGGCTTCTGTTCCCCCACCCATTCCAACACTCAATTTCCCCTTTAAAAAGATTAAGAAGAGAAAACACCCTAATGAAAGACCCAGAATTATTTCCCCACAATGACATAATAATAATAATAATAATAATAATAATAATAATAATAATAGGCTTAAAGCCAACTAAAAACTGTGGTATAGACACTGAGAACTGAGAAGCCCTGGCCCTTGAGCGTTTTAACTGGAGGTCAGCTGTGACCAGCAGTGCTGCAGAATTTGAAGAGGTATGAATGGAGGGCAAAAGGGACCAATGTGCCAAGAGGAAGATGTGTCAAGCCAACACTGACCAAGACCACCACCTTCCACCTGGAAACCGATGTCCTCACAGCCACCTATGAACCCATCACCAAGACACTAGACATGGAAGACCATCATCTTTGGTCTATGAGGGATTGCCTAAGTAGTAGTAGTAGTAGTAGTAGTAGTAGTAATATTTTTTCGTGTCAGGAGTAACTTAAGAAACTGTGAATTGCTTCTGTTGTGAGAGAATTGGCTGTCTGCAGTGACGTTGCCCAGGGGACACCTGGATGTTTTAACATCCTGTGAAAGGCTTCTCTCATGTTTCTGCATGAGAAGCTGGAGCTGACAGATGAGAGCTCACCCCACTCCCTGGATTCAAACTGCTGAACTTCTGGTCAACAGTCCTGCCAGCACAAGGGTTTAACCCATTGTGCCACAACACAATAAGAGAGCAAAATAAGGCCACCTGATAAGCATTGTGCCTCCCCAAATGACATATTCCTTCACTCTCCAAATGTCCATCATTCTTCACACTACAGTCACAGTAGAGAATGAATCCACTTCACATCCGGTTTCTGCCTCCTCCCTAAACTACAAATCCCAGAATTCTGCAGGAGGCAGAAACTGGATTTAAAGTGGACTCATTCTCTAGTGTGATGAGGTAGCAAGAGCTGGATCCTTGTGGAGAGATCAGAGATGGTCCTTTTGGGTGGCATGTTATCTGGGGGATTCTGGAAGTTGTAGTCCAAAAATAGGGAGAACATTTCTGAGCTCCCAACTGGGGCAATATATGGAAGAGTTCTTCCTTCAGCTAGCAAGACCTTCAGTGACACTATGTACACAATTCCTGTTCCTGCCTTATAAATGTCATTTCCTAATTGGTTCTAGTATAACAACGTGGGAAAAGTTTATTCAAATGCCAAAACTTTTTGTGTGTGCGAGAGGGGCATCCTGCAGCACATTTTGCTCTAGTTTTTCATTATCTGATTGAGTCTCAACCTATTCAATCTAGTTTGTGGCAGCCACAAAAACAACAAAGTTTCTGGAGTTTAATAACTACTTTCAAAGTTACTAGTGCACAATTAAACAAGAATAACACTGTATTGTCGAAGGCTTTCATGGTTGGAATCACTGGGTTGTAGGTTTTTTCAGGCTATATGGCCATGTTCTAGAGGCATTCACTCCTGACGTTTCGCCTGCATCTATGGCAAGCATCCTCAGAGGTTGTGAGGCACTACTTCTGAGGATGCTTGCCATAGATGCAGGCGAAACGTCAGGAGAGAATGCCTCTAGAACATGGCCATATAGCCCAAAAAAACCTATAACAACCCAAGAATAACACTTTCAAACCAGGCACATAAATGATTCCAAATTTTTGTTACATAGTGTAATTCATCTAAGAACAGCATCCACTCACTTGACCTGGACCCTTGGACCAAAGCAGGCCTATTTCCAAGGGAGGACTCTTATGAATGCAATGTCTCCAAGAAGGTGCTGCAAACTTACGGGAGGTGATGATGATGCCGACCAACAATGCCAAGAGAAGTAGTAGCACCAGAGTGAGGATGGCAACGCAGACCCAGGAGAACTTGCAGTCGGGTTTGAATTTCCTGTTTGCCACATCCCGAACTTGTTGGGCTGCAAGGAAAGAAGCCAAGTCACAATACTGCGGTGCCAGGCTTGCCTATCTTTGTGTTTAATGCCTTCCTAGGAAACAGTCTTATGCCAGAGTTGGGTCAGACTTTTATCAAGATATTTTTCCATGGGACAGAAGACAAGGTGTTGAGAGGCTTGATTTAACGCTCTGTCCCTTTTCTCAAGGTCTAGCAAAGCTCACTGTCCTTGGAAAGAGCCTGGATGAGGGTGGAGAAAGTCAAAAACTGACTTGAAAGCTCAAAATCTGGAACTACAGAAGTTTAAGAATGATTCCTTTACCCATATCCCATGAAATACTTTCCCCAAACACTTTCCCCTTTGAGACCCCACTCTTCTCTGATGAGTGGATACATTTTGGACACTGTGGTCCCAATCTAAGGGGACTGAGTCCTGCCTGAGCTGTCTTAGAGTCTTAGGATGTTTGACCCCCTTCCATCACTTGGAGACATATATGCCAAACCATATACCAAAGCCATTGGCGGTGACTTTCACGCTGTTTTCCCCCTCCGCTTGGCTCTGGGCCGGTGCTTCACCGTCTTCTTCAAAAGCCGGGTTGGAGAACTCTGTCAACAAATACTGTGGCAAAGCAGGTGGCATCAGGTTGCCGGCATTTTCCTGGAGGGACATCAGGCAACAGCAATAAGAAACTGAATAGATATGAGGCTGACTAGCAGGAAGCTAAGGGAATTGCAAGTCTTGGGGTCTCCATGTTAGGATGAAACAGAAGGTCAGGAGCCTCCTTTAGAGAATGGAAATGTTATATTTTTAATGGATTGCAGACTCTACATAGTAATTCCTCAGCTGGCATACCTACTGGCCATGTTGGCTCTGGGACTATGAGTGCAGGAGACCCAGCATGCAAGTTGAGTATAGGATAACAACTTTGGGTGCAATTTGAGCATTGGACAACAACTTTGGATGCATATTGAGTATTGGATGACAACTTTGGGTGCAGTTTGAGCACTGGATAGCAACTTTGCATGCAATTAGAGCATTGGATAAAAACTTTGCATGCAATTTGAGCACTGGATAACAATTTTGGATGCAATTAAAGCATTGGATAACAACTTTGAGTGCAATTTGAGCACTGGATAACAACTTTGGATGCATATTGAGCATTGGATGACAACTCTGCATGCAATTTGAGCATTGTATAATGACTTTGCATGCAATTTAAGCATTGGATAACAACTTTGTATGCATATTGAGCAGTGGATGACAACTGCATGCAATTTGAGCATTGGAAAACAACTTTCTATGCCATTTGAGCATTGGATAACAATTTTGGATTTAATTTGAGCATTGGATAACAACTTTGTATGGATATTGAGCATTGGATAACAACTTTCCATGCATTTTGTGCATTGAATAACAACTTTGTATGCATATTGAACATTGGATAACAACTTTCCATGCGATTTGAGCATTGGATAACAACTCTGATTTGAATCTCCACTGGACCATGCAAACCCAGTGGGTGACCTTGGGCAAATCAGTCTTTCAGCTTCGGAGGCAGGTGATAGCAAAGCCCCTCTGAACATATCTTGCCAAGAAAACCCTCTGATAGGTTCACCTTAAGGTCACTGTAAGTTGGAAATGACTTGCAGGGACACAACAGTCAACCTGTGTTACTTCATTGCAACGGATCAAACCAAATCTCAAGAAAGGAACTTTTCTAAGCTCTTGTGCCTTGACCGGTGCAATCTTCTTCCCTCCCTCTTTCTCTGTTCCCCTTTCCCCTTGATCTAGAGGTGAGTATATTGTGCCTGAGGTTATTTGGATCTTCAGCAAGGAAGGAGAGAACACTAACTCACTCTGTCCTATTATTTGGAATATTTCTCTACTGAAAATTGTTTTTGCTGAAGAGGCAATGGAGGGAAGGGCTTTGAATCTCCCATTGGTGCCAAGAAAAGGTTTCCTGCCAAAGGAAATAGTAGCTCCTTAGAAATTCAGCAAACTGCCAATGAGAAAGCAAAAAGTTATGTCTCCCTTCCAGAGTTTCTCTCCCTGCTTTTAGGATCCTGAAAATGCTCCAACCATTAAAAAGTTCTTTTATTTAAATCTGAAGCCATTAATCTTATTCTGCTACTCTATTGGCCTCCCTGATCTTGAATGAAATACCTCCAGAGGTAGTTAGGGATGTTCCAAGACATTTGGCTGCCATCATAAAATAATAATAATAATAATAATAATAATAATAATAATAATAATAATAATAGGACACCTGATCTTGTTACAAAAACATTCCTGTATATATTCCTACATGGCAGAATGAGGTTGGACTAGATCATCATTTCTCAACCTGGGGTTTAGGAACCCCTTGGGGGGCCACGAGGGGGTGTCAGAGGTGTCGCCAAAGACTATCAGAAAAGACAGTATTTTCTATTGGTCATGGGGGTTTGTTGTGGGAAGTTGGCCCAATTCTATCGTAGGTGGAGTTCGGAATGCTCTTTGATTGTAAGTGAACTATAAATCCCAACAACTACAATTCCCAAATGCCAAGGTCTATTTTCCCCAAACTCCACCAGTGTTCAGATTTGGGCATATTGAGTATTTGTGCCAAGTTTGGTCCAGATCCATCATTGTTTGAGTCCACAGTGCTCTCTGGATATAGGAGAACTACAACTCCAAAACTCAAGGTCAATGCCCCCCAACCCTTTGCAGTATTTTCTGTTGGTCATGGGAGTGCTGTGTGCCAAGTTTGGTTCAATTCCATCATTGGTGAAGCTCAGAATGCTCTTTGATTGTAGATGAACTATAAATCCCAGCAACTACAACTCCCAAATGTCAAGATCTATTTTCCCCAAATTCCACCAGCATTCACATTTGACCATATTGGGTATTAGTGCCAAGTTTGGCACAGATCCATCATTATTTGTGTCCACAGTGCTCTCTGGATGTAGGAGAACTACAAGTCCAAAACTCAAGGTCAATGTCCACCAAATACCCTTTGAGTATTTTACATTACGGTTCATAATAATAGTAAAATGACAATTTTTTTTGTTGGTCATGGGAGTTCTGTGTGCCAAGTTTGGTTCAATTCCATCATTGGTGGGGTTCAGAATGCTCTTTGATTGTAAATTAAATATAAACCCCAGAAACTACAGCTCCCAGATGACAAAATCAATGTTTTCCCCAACCCCACCAGTATTCAAATTTGGGCGCCTCAGGTATTTGTGCTAAATTTGGTCCAGTGAATGGAAATACATTCTCAATATCAGATATTTACATTATGATTAATAATAGTATCAAAATGACAGTTATGATGTAGCAACAAAAAAAATTTATGGTTGGGGGTCACCACAACATGAGGAACTGTATTAAGGGGTCATGGCCGTAGGAAGGTTGAGAAACACTACTCTAGGCATTCAAAACTCCCTTTATTTAAATTTGAATCCATTGATCTTATTAAGCTATTCCATCAGCCTTCCTAATCTTCAATGAGATACCCCTGGAGATAGTCATGGCTGTCCCAAGATATTTGGTTGCTATCATAAAATAATAATAATAATAATCATCATCATCATCATAGAATCATAGAATCAAAGAGTTGGAAGAGACCTCATGGGCCATCCAGTCCAACCCCATTCTGCCAAGAAGCAAGAATATTGCATTCAAATCACCCCTGACAGATGGCCATCCAGCCTCTGTTTAAAAGCTTCCCAATAAGGTGCCTCCACCACACTCCGGGGCAGAGAGTTCCACTGCTGAACGGCTCTCACAGTCAGGAAGTTCTTCCTAATGTTCAGATGGAATCTCCTCTCTTGAAGTTTGAAGCCATTGTTCCGCGTCCTAGTCTCCAGAGCAGCAGAAAACAAGCTTGCTCCCTCCTCCCTGTGGCTTCCTCTCACATATTTATACATGGCTATCATATCTAATATCCTCTGGATAGGGTATCTGATCTGGTTACAAAATATTCATGTATGTATTCCTACACGGTGGAATGGGGTTGGACTACATGGCCTTTGGGGGTCTCTTCCAGCTGTGATTCTATGATTCAGAACCATTAATCCCTATCTAATATTAATATACTCTTGTGTCAAAGAGTTTCAAAGCCATGCCTATCTATAAACCCCATTCAACTGACCCTGAGTTGGCTCTTCTCATGTGAATCAACCTACTTTATAGGGCTATTGTAAAGTGGGATGAAAAAAAATCATATGTGGCATGAAACAAAAAATCATATTCATTTACTCTGGTCTCCATCGAAGGAGAAGAGGAAATTTATTTATTTATTTATTTATTTATTTACAGTATTTATATTTCTCCCTTCTCACCCCGCAGGGGACTCAGGGCGGATTACAATGTACACATATATGGCAAACATTCAATGCCAAAGACACACAACAGATACAGACAGACGTCAGAGGCTATTTAACTTTTCTGGCCGCCAGGGGAGCTGTCGCTTTCATAATCCATCTGCAACACTGATGAAGTATTTCCGCATTCCCCGCATACTTTTGGTGGAGTGCTTTGCTGGAGTCTTTTTTATGGCCTCATAAATTAGTTAAATTTGCCTCCCCACACATAGGTGGTACCTAATTTTCCTACTTGACAGATGCAACTGTCTTTCAGGTTGCAAAGGTCGACAACAAGCTACACAATCGGTTGGAAGCTCACTCCCACCTGGGCTGGCTTCGAACTCATGACCTTTTGGTCAGAAGTGATCTTAATGCAGCTGACACTCAGACAACTCCACCACAATCCCGGTGCCAAGGAAGCAGCTGAAAAGACTCAACCAACAAATGCAACCATAGGCATTTTCCCCCAGTGGTTAATGCAAACCTAAGCATGAAATAATGCTCAGGAGTCTCATAGTTTCTCTGGTTTTAGGGTCAAATGATGGGGAAAACAGAAATTGCCTCTTAAAGAGAATGAAAAAGGATGCAGGGTTGAACTCGCACTCCCAGTATCCCCCAATGCTGGGACTCAACCTGTGTGTGAACCTGAGCCTGAATCTCTTATTGTATTGCCTAATGTTGATGCCAATGTTGATGCCAATGTTGATGCTAAGGTTGATGGGCCTAGTTTGGATAGTGAGGCTGAAGTGATCAATGAGGACGAGGCTCAAGATGGAGACACTTTGGGCAGTAAAAATCCCACAGCTTTGGTTTAGAGGCTTCAAAGGAAATGCCAAGTTCTCATGAGAAAGTTTCTGTCAGACTGAGAGAAGAAGATTAACTCCCTTTTCCTCCTGGCCCAAGCTTGATAACTTGACACCTGGTCGGTCAATGATAACAGCCGCAGCTTGGAGATAAGCCAGAACCGCAGGGAGGCTCAATGTTTATGTAGGTCTGAGAGAATCTGACAAATGAAACCAAAGATTAGAGTTAGCCAGAATCAATTTTTGGGATTTAAGAGTGGCTATGGAGGGGGATTTCCTCAGACCAAGCATCATTTAGTATCAAGTACAAATCTCCTGGGTTTTCCAGTTTCCAGTGGTCTGGTCTCTAAGGGAATTTCTGGCTTCAAGTGAGATTAAAAGTAAAGGTAAAAGTTGTCCCCTGACATTAAGTCTAGTCGCGTCCGACTCTGGGGTATGGTGCTCATCTCAATTTCTAAGCCAAAGAGCCAGCATTGTCCATAGACACCTCCAAGGTCATGTGGCCAGCATG